GCGGTGATGAGTCTGTTCTGTTACGCTTCACTCATTCGTTCGTGCTTTGCGCATACATATAATTAATCCGCTCGTTCCTACACACTTATCGACCCAAGTAGCCGTCATGCAAGGAGAACGGAAGTTCACTGACTCACAACCCGTATCTGAAGTCCGCCTCGCCTAGCCTAGCCGACTTCTCAGAAACCTCCTCAACTGCCCTATAGCCCCCTCATCCAACGTCTGCGCACAAGAATCCGACTCGATATGCTGGAACAAGCTTGACAGCTTCGACATCGCCGCATCGCAAATCGGGCACATGAATGGAGTAGCTTCGTACAACGTATCCCCATCATCAAGCAGCTCGTCCCGATAGTCCGCGTCGATGAACCGATCCCATCTATAGCATTCGGCTGCCAACTTGTTGAGATCGGTGGAGTCGATATCGCCGCAGGTGCCGCGTTCGAGATGGATGATCTATGATGGTAAGCGACAAGTTGTATTTGGTTGCATACATGACTTACCATGCCGCCGTAGGTCTTGAACATGCTCGTGCATTGGTAGCATTTGTACCTCGGTGTACGATGGGAAAGCTGATGCTGCGTATCGTTAGCACGTGACGCACATCTGCCATACAGTCGTACCACTTACCTGGTGAAGATTGCTCGGTGAGTCAAAGTGCCTCTCGCACTGGGTGCATACATTGGACTCTTCAACATGGTTCCAGTACTCCTTCGATCCAGGATGAAATAGATTTCCATCTCCATCGTTACAATCTTGACACACGGTGTAACAGCCCTCGTCGCGGCAGTGCTCGAGCAATTCGTCCCGGGTATCGCCGTCAAAGTCGCATTTGGAGCAGTAGTGGTGCTTTGTAGAGTGGCGGACGTGTGCATCGCGTGCGCCGAGAGTGCGGAAGGAGCGAACGCAGCGTTGACACCAGCTGTTTGGTGTTAGCGGAGGAAATGCAGGCATATTAGTCACTTACACAGCCATCTCAGGGAGTCTTGTTGTTGAACAGCGGCTATTCGTAGGCTCCGCAGAAGGGTTTGATATCTTAGTAAGTAATGAGGAATTGCGTGAATGCCGCGTGAGCCCTGCATTGACCTGGTCACGTCGTGGTTGATCGGATGGCTGCCTGAATAAATGTGGCCCCATGTCAGCGGCGCAAACAAATAACCGAAATAAAAAGAGTGAAAGCAAGCACAGCGGTACGTGTTCAATAATATATTTAGCTAAACGGCTATTCAGATGGCTTCATCTCTATGAACTCCATTCCTTAAACGCCTTCTGCTTTTGCCTGCTATTCCACTGTAGAGTTCTCGAGATACTGTCGATCCAATCCGTTCTCCTCTTGTTCAGTGGCAGCACGCTGGGGAACGGGAATCGACTTGCGCTAATCGTAACGTAGTCGCCTGGCTTGAGTTCGACCCGTTCTCTGCCGTCAAAGCTGGCCCATGAACTCGTTCTCGCGTCGTACGGCACACCGCATCGGAGCACGATGGTATCGGGGAGAATGATGGGGCGGAAGGAAAGGGTATGCGCGCAGATGGCGGTAACGAGAACCACTGGGTTGTCCGGATGGCAGAGCGATCCACCTGCCGCAAGGTTGTACGCAGTGGATCCCGTAGGCGTAGACACGCAAATACCGTCAGCCTGCACAGTTGTGAAATGCTCGTCGTCTCCAAACAGCTCGATAGACGACATAGTAGGGTTTGGGCCCCGGTCTACGACCACCTCGTTCAGGATGTTGTGAGTGCCATCCGAATAATGTGTATGGTGGTCGTCGATTTCCTCCCCGATGAGTTCTTCGACCAGATCACGACCCTCGCCGTCCCGTTGTTGGGACCGCATGACGGTAGCTTCGAAGCGGAGCCGCAGGCTGACTGTAATACCGTCCGCGAAGGCGGTAGATAGGGATTGCGGGTATAGTTCGAAATCGAATTTGGTGAGGAAGCCGAGCGAGCCTAGCGAGAAGGCAATCGTTGGGGGTACGATGCGCTGGAAGAGCCATGACGCATATAAGACTGTACCGTCACCACCGAGCTGTGTTGTCGTTAGCCATGAAGACTCCGCAGTATGACATGTCTTACCGCCAGGACAATGTCAAAGGTCTGTGGCTTTTGAGCGCACATCTCGTTGGTCCAGAACTTGAGCCGCCCTTGAAAACCCTCGTTCTCCAACAACCCAGCGGCGTTGAATATCTTGTTGTCCTCCAGCGTCTGCTCGACGTAGCTATGTCTCGTTAATCGTGTCCGTTGCTAGGCAGAACTAGCACATACACCGTATACTCCGAGCTCTTCCGCAGAAGCCAGTCGGTCACCTCGCGCGAGTTCTTGATCAAGGCCTCGTCGTGCGCTTTGCCGAGGATGAAGATGTTCTTCACATGCAGCTTCAGCCTGATCTGTGACAGCTTCTTGGACAGCTCGCGTATTCCAAATGCCATATCTGACAGCTCCTTTTTGGTCAACAGCCGCGAATGTTGCGTCTGTTCTGAGCGCGCCGAGGACGGGTCTTTGTCGACGCGCCGTTCCTGCGCGAGGCCTTCGTGCGATTGGGAGTGATCTTGTACGGGCAAGCCATCGTGCTTTTCGAGCAGGGAGTGTACGATACACGCGGTGGTACGGCGACCGTTCTCAGGGCGGGACGTCATCTTGCCAGAGGGTGGGGGAGCGAGCGAGGCCTTGCGACGATGGCCGTTATATCCGCCTTCGAAGACGACCTGCGATTATTGGTCAGCGCGTGGAGGAAGGGTGCAGTGGAGTAGGTACCTCTAGCGCATCGTCATGGCTGGTCACCTTGGTGATATTCTTGGTGTCTTGGTCTCCAAGCTCGCTCTCCATGAGGAAGTTAGCTTCAACGCGTCGTTATGACGTTTGGGGGGTGCATAGGTACCTCGATTGCTTCCTGAACGCCAGGGCTCAGCTGATCGAAATAACTCGTCGCCATGGCTGAAGTGCGCAAATAGTCCTGCGATTGAAAGGGCCAAGAGACACGGCTGCCCTTTTGTAGCCTTGCTGTAGCGCGTGCGTAATGTCGAAGGTGCAACAGTAACTGCGGTTCTCGGCCCACTTTCCGAGGGGCAGGCACGCCCGGCCCCGCTTGCTTCCAATCATGTCCGCGCAACGCCGATGAGATCAGCCGCCGGCGTCCTTACTCATGCCTTTTGCTCAACCACCATCATTTTCGTGGTGGTAGTCTTGCTGACAAAGGATGCTAAAGCGGAACTTCCACTGATTCCAGCACTTCTTCAATGACATCCTCAACCGTAACACCTTCGAGGACAGCCTTGACCGCCTCGAGTGAGCTGCCCCATTGCATGCTGCGCTCGTTCTCTGGCGCAGTGATGACAATGCGATGTGGGTATATCTTGCGAGCGGCGAGGGCGATCATGGACGGCGAGATATAATCGAGACCGTGGAGTGGGGCGAGTGTGCTACTGCTGTCAATACTGTTCTGCTGGGATAGTGGACCACTTACTGTGCCAGCGTGTTGAAGTGCCTCGTGGCCAAAGCAGAGATGCCTCCTGCAACTGCTCGATGCAGTCGCATGAATACGATAATGTTGTAGAGATAGGCTCTTACTTCAGAACTGATTCTGACTTGCGACACCAGCTTCGTCAAGGTCTCGAGGTCCTGTCCATGTTAGTACAGGTCAGACATACTACAGTCGACATACCTCAGGTAGGAATAATGCTTGTTGCGGCTTATGCTTTCCCGGCTGGAATGGCGGCGTGCGAACTACGGAAGACATTGATGCGCCGTCTTCTGATGCATGATTCTTTTCTTGCAGCTCTTCAAGATTTGGCAGTCCATCATCTGCTTGGTGCTTGTGTGAGATGAAGAACTGATCATTCTGTAGCGTGGTTAGAATCTGCATCGTAATTGTAGGATAGACCTACCAGATGCATGGTTAATCGCGGTGTATCTGAAGCATTCAAAGCGATGAATAGGAACGGTTTTGGAGCCGCGTGTACTGCTGTCCTCGTGAAGTTCCGCTTGCCTCGTATCAGCTGCCAGATATTAGTTATGCTCGAGCAGAAAAGACGATTAATGCACCTCCAAAGCCTGGATTTGGACCTGCGGATTCGCCCTGTTGAGGTTTCTTGCTATGACAATGTTCGCGATGCGTTGATTGTCCAATGGACTGAACGGCTTGGATGACCTCGATGTATGTCCGCCAGGCTTCCCAGGTGATACTGAGATGGCCGAGAACTGGCTAGATATTAGTCGCTGGCAAATCAGTCTACACGAGCACAAGTTACCTCTCCTCTACCACGGCCAGCTTTGTTGCCGAAGTAGTCGTTCTCTTCTCCTCTCACAAGGATTCCGCTTCCGAAATCGTCCAGCGTGGTGTGCTCGGTGCATTCCAGTACAGCCCATGTTAGTCCGAAAGTATTGGTAGCAACCTATTGTTGTAAGCACACAGGCAGTCACACAGTGGGAAGCAACTCACGAGCTTCAACTCTTCAAGCACGTCACGGGTCAGTTGCCTTTCCGCTTCGATGATGCAATGTTGATCCGCGACCAAGCAGATGAGAACGGCAAGCTCCAGATCGCTCAGCGACTGCACTTTTTCCGTGATGCGATCTTCCGAAGCTTCCATAGTTGACAATATCTGAGAAGGCTTTCTTCGTTCCTGTGAAAGTCCTAGAAGCCTGTAAGAAGTCTGGCGACGAAAGTGCTTGGACGCGATGGCTGTTTCCAACGTCGCGTTCGGTGAGCGAACAGGGATACGATGCCGCTAGTCCAAAGAAGCTAGACCCGAATCCCCTGGAAGTCGCGCCCGGGCGGGCTGTCAGGTCACCGCCAGAACACATTCACGGAAAGCAGCTCAGCATGCACACCACTACACGTCTAAGTGATTTTGCATTATCAGTAGCTTCGCATTGTTACAGTACGTCGGAATACCGAGAGCCATAGGCATTGCCTAATGGACCACCACCCGTAATGCGCTCCTAACCCAGTTTCTACCGTATCAGAACCCATTTCTTCCCCGACATGGCACCTTCGCTCCAAGGCTTAGCCAGACTTCTTCACAGCGCCTCTAATCTCTTCCTTCGGTGTGTCGACGAGACGAAGACTCTTCCAAGTGGTTGACGGAGTAGTTTTGGGTACTGCTGGGGAGCTCAGTGCAGGAAAGGCTTCTGCGACGCGAGGGACCTTGCGCAGTGTGACAGGTGGGTTGACAGACGACTGAAGAACAGCTCGACCAGTCCATGCGCCACCGACAGCCACTGGTTTTGCTGCGCGAATGTCCTCAGATCCGGCCTTGGTGCTTGACGCGCGAGAAGGCTTCGACTTTGGCGCAGGTTTCAACTCTTTCAATGCCTGCTTAGCGTTTTGCACCTTGCCCTCGAGTGCCTTCTTCTTATCTTTTGAGTCGTTCACATCGGCAGTCGCAGTGTCTAGAGTGTTCTGCCAGATGGTTGCAAGCCCGTCTAGGTGTTGGAGTTCGGCGACTTGACGAGCGAACACCGCTGCTGTATCGGGGATGTGCGGGTCTGCAACTGTCGGCTGGTTCTCGTGATGCGGCATGAGCCTCGGTGTGTGTTCTCTTGATAGCTTCTCGTTCTCTCTCTTCAACTCATCGTAGTCGGTCTGAAGTACAGCCTTCTCACTCTGGAGAACCTGGTTGTCGTTGCTGAGTTGGTCGTAACCTTCCTTGACAGATTTGGCTTCCTCGTCGCGGTCCTTGTACTTCTTCTCTAATTCTAATTTTGACCGCCTTAGCAGCGCCTTGTCTTGGTCACCCTGCAGAGCCCTGGCTTGCTGTACCTCTTTCTCGTCAAGGACTCGATCGTAAAGCAAGGCCTTTGCTTCCGCTTTGCGAAGTCGCTCAGCAAGCTTAGCTTTCTCGTCGTACACGCGTCCTTCAACCAAGTTTTCTACGTTGTTGTAGTAGCCCTTCACAAGCTCATGATACTTGTCGTTCAAACTCTTCTCTTTTTCAGCAAACCTGCCTTCAACTGTCTCCAAACGTGATTCCAGCTCTTTCGTTCTGCGCTTTTCATCTGAGAGCTCCACTTCTTGTACTCTCGCCTTCACGTCTGCTTTGACAAACTCTTTCATCGTAAGATCTAGCTGACGCCTCATGTCTCCGAGCTCCTCCATATCGGTTGGCCTGTTCTTCCAAAAGGAATCGATGGTGACTATTATCTGTGCAGCTAGCCTGTCTCGGAAGTTGTCGAGCATCCGGTCTGGGCCGTGGTGACATGTGCACGGGGGCAGAGCATCTTCGTAGATTTTTCTTTCGGCCTCGGACAACGGTTCGTCGCCAATAATATTTGGCGGGCTATGACCCTGACTAAGGGAGTTTTGGGTCCATTGTTTGAGCCAGGCAGATGCCTTTTGCGTGGCAACGCCATCGAGTGTGGTACTTAGAGCACAGAGTAGACTCTTTAGGTCGCCGAGCTCTTTGGTGATTATTCCCCCTGTTCGCATATCCAGAAGGTCAAAGCCCAACGTGGCGGTGTTGAGTATGTCGCACACCTCACCCTCGAGAGGCTCTTCGGTATCTTCCATGACAGCTCACCAAGGCTCTGGCGGTGACCTTGGATGTCGATCAGCGGTCTGTACCGATTTAGAGGGATCGTAGTGTGTTCAACCAAGTGTGTACCTAGGTATAGCAGGAAACAGTCGGTTTACTTACTCTCGCAGAGCTGAAGTTGGTGCAAGTATCTGGAAAGTGTGGTGAGTTGATGCAAGTTCGCGGTAAGATCACAAAGCCGGGGCTCTTCGACCACAGGATGAGGGAACAAGGCGCCTGCAAACGAAGAGGTGGGGTCAAAGACGCGTTCTGCAAGTAAATAAACGCGTTTGCTGTTTCGAGCCTACCTAGGTACCTAGATACGTCATCAGCGCGAAAATCCTCTCACCAAACTCTAGAAATATAACGCGAGCTACCGCCCTACCCGTCGTCATCATCAACGATGTCATTCAGCTTAAAGCATCCAAGCAACGGTATAGCCAATCACCTCCGGGCCACGGCAGCGACATTTACACCACTGGCCTCCCAGAGCAACGCGAAGTCTCCTCACAATGGCGAACGGCAGAATGATATCACCTGCAAGAGTTCAAGTTTTCTATCCCCATACGCTCAGGCAGATGAAATGCCAGGCAGCTCCAATGTCAAAGTAAGCGTTGGAGCAGACGGATCCGATCTCAAAGTTGCAGAGCGCGAGACGAGGATGAACTGCACCTTCTGCGCTTCCCTAGGCCAACGACTCCAGTGCTGCAAGGCTCTCACGCTCTCACATCCCTGCCCTCACTGCGACGAGCTCAGCCAACTCTTCACCCGCAAAACCGAGGAACACAAAGACGAGATAGCCACTCTGCACGACAAGCTACAGCGACTGGAAGAAGAGTCACCAGAACAAAAGTTCACGAGGCTATGCGGCGAAAAGAACAAGAAGATTGACGGACTGAAAGCCGAGGTAGAGAAGATCAACAAGGAAGACGAGTCACTAAAGGCAGAGAATAAGGAGTTGGAGAAGAAGCTAAAGATGCTTGAGGTGGACATCAAGAAGTTACAGCCACCTGCGGCGTTCACGGTCAAGGAGAAGAAGACGAAAGGGAAGAAGAAGTAGAGTCTGGAAGTTCTTGAGGGCGTCATTTCTGCTGGCATTGTATATGAGAAGTGCTCTTTGCCGATTACATGATGACTTAGCACTGGTTCTACCTCTTCGGCGCGGCTTTGTAGTCTCTCTGCTAACCCAACAATTTACATCGATACCAAGAACCCAAGGCTGAAGCTTCTCCTATCCGCATACACAGGCTGAGGTACATCGTATAATTTTACCTATCCAGAGTTTTCCAGATGTCGTCGAGCTTGTTCAAGCTTGGCGTCCAGCGATACAACCTCTGCTTTCTTCCTCTCCATTCAATTTAGTTTGGCTAGGTCTTTGCAGATCTCTCCGTGGTCTCCTTGGACGTCTTGAGATCTACGTTCTCTTTCTCTAACCTAGCATTCTGTTGCTCAAGCTCCTGAATTCTCGCTGCGGGGTCCAATACCTGCTTCAAAGCAGTGATAAGCCGGTTGTCCAGTGTCTTGACTTCATACTGGGCGATTTCGAGACTCATCTTGGCTATACTTAGATGTTCATGCGTGAAGAGCTTGTCGACGCGCAGATTATCGATTTCTTTGTCCTTCAAATCAGAGAGTTGAGCAACCTTCAAGTCGAATTGTTCTTTCAGTTGAGCAATCAGTGCCTGCAGTGGCGCGTAAACCGTCTCCATGACCTCGTGGCGCAATCTCTCGGCGTCACGTTCTTGGGTCCACAACGCCACCTCCTCATCGTGTAGCTGAATACTCAGCTCTGTTAAGGCACCCTCGGAAGCTTTCTCGTGTTCTTTATCATCGAGCTGTGCTTTTTGTAGTTGAGCAATTTGTTGGCTGATGCTCTCGATAGCGGTCTTGAACTCAGCAATCGCTTCGCCAGCACGTTGGCCTTCGGAAACAAGAAGAGCTATTGAATCATGCATTCTTCGCAAACACACGTAAATTGCGACAAAGGGCGTCTCCTTTTTGTCTAGCTCCAAAGTTGTTTTGACCCACTCCAGGAAATCGTCTTGTGTTGTGGCCTCATGCGTCGCGTCCTCTGTTGTTGAAGTAGTCGCGGATGGTATCGCTGCAGATACAGGATTGTCCGGACTGAACAGCCCGCAGACTGCGGATAGCCACTCTTGCGTACTCTCCAGATGCCGTTGACCAAAGGGACTTCGCACCGGATTTCCGGTAGAGTCATGCTTGCTGGAAACGCCCTGAACACCGGAGAGGCCGTTGTCATCTGGCCTTTGGGAGTGGAAGCCACCCTCATCAGCTGATGTAGGCGCCATGGGTTCCTCGGTCTGGCCTTCGGCTGGTCGGTGGGGAGAGGACGGGAGGAAGCGGGATCCCTGAGAATTGTTTTGGGAGTTATGATCTGTGCACGCTTGCTCCGAAGCAGTCTCAGTATCGACTGGTGAGTTGCCATCTGACTTTTCAGGGTTTTGCAATTCGTCTTGATCGGCTTTCTCATCAGTTTGAGACGTGCTGGACATGATGTGGTTTGAGACTGATCCGGTCGCGTTTTGTAGGTGTTTGGTCGTCCGACGTGCGTCGTGCTGATGGAATGATAATATGGTCGTACTTTTGGGGCGGTCTATCAGGCAGGCGGTTGTTGTTCCCGGAAGTCGGTCAGGTTTTGGAAAGCAGTATAAGTGTCGGGGTTAGGCGGGAGTCGCGATGGAAGTTGACGGTGCTTGTTTGTTCTATGTCATAACGGGAAATCGCGCTGGGACCTGCTGTGCAGCCTTGGAAAACAGTCCATAAAATGACCGGCTCTTGTGACACAATCAGTCACCCTCTGTTCTTCGTAGTACACTCTACCCCACGTCGCCTGTATAATCTTCTCTCATTACTCAACCTTTTAAGAAAGATTTCGACCTAGTCCAGCTCTTCAAACCCGTCGACTCGACCAGACTTCAACTACGTAGAAAATGCCAGAAGAGATGTCAGAAAGCAGCGCCCAAGAAAAGCGCGACTACATCAAGGCGTTGAAAATACAGATACAGGCAGCAGAAGAAGAAGACAGGAGGCTAGAAAGAGATCTAGAAGAGCGAAGGCAGGAGCTGAAGGAGCTGGAGGCCAAAATTAGGGATAAAGAGGGATAAAGAGGGATAGATCATCGAGGAAGACGTCCAAATGAAGAAGGGAAGGAAGCAATGGGTACCAGTACTAGGCAGAAGCGCAGCTTCGTTCAAGTCTGGTTGATGTATGACATCCTCGCGTTTATTCCCACAGAACGCAAGACGGTAGTAACACCATAAGCATATGCGCAGTTGATTTTGGACAAAGCTAGTAAATGGCAGTTGGTTCCCATCGTGCTCGTTGTTCAAGGGTCGCGCTCCGCCGTGGTGTTGATGAATGCATGCAAAGGCCGCGACGTGAAGGCAAGACTGAGGATACAATGGCATCTGCCAACTCCTGACTCGAATGCGAAACCCGAACGGTGAAAGCCCAAACCCCACAAATATCAGAACAGCGTGGCCTCTTGGGAGTTTGGTGGGAGATTCGCGATAGCTCAGGGACGGAGCTACGGCTAGCGCGCGCACGGGTAATTTCCCCAGCGACACGTTGCGAAAGCTCATGAAGCAAACCCCCTCTCCATCTTCCATCAACTGGCTGTTCGCAACCACCTTCTTCACCTTCTCGTTGTCTTCTTTCTTGTCTCTGGGCCATAGTTCGCAATCATGAGCGGCCGTAAGTCTCCACCCCACTTGTCAATGGCCCGGCGAGGCGTGCGCGCAACACCTGCGAGGAATTAATTACGGCGCGGACGAAGACCACAGCTAACGGTTGCACGTAGTACGGTTCCTCGATCTCGTCAAGCCTTTTGTGCCTCTGGTACCTGAAATTCAGCTGCCAGAGAGCAAGGTTCCTTTCAACAACCGCCTGGTATGGACCGGTCTGACCCTCCTCGTCTTCCTCGTCATGAGCCAGATGCCGCTCTACGGAATCGTGTCGTCTGATACCTCCGACCCGCTATACTGGCTCCGTATGATGATGGCGAGTAACAGAGGAACACTGATGGAATTGGGTATCACCCCCATCATCACCTCCGGCATGGTTTTCCAGCTCCTCGCGGGAACCCACCTCATCGACGTCAACCTCGACCTCAAGTCTGATCGCGAGCTCTACCAGACCGCGCAGAAGCTCCTCGCTATTCTCCTGTCTTTCGGTCAGGCCGTCGTCTATGTCATCTCGGGTCTCTACGGACAGCCATCCGACCTCGGTGCCGGTATCTGCGTTCTCCTCGTCATTCAGCTGATGATCGCTGGTCTGATCGTTATCCTCCTCGACGAGCTCCTCCAGAAGGGCTACGGTCTCGGCAGCGGTATCTCGCTCTTTATCGCCACTAACATTTGCGAGTCCATCATGTGGAAGGCCTTCTCGCCCACCACCATCAACACTGGTCGCGGTCCTGAGTTCGAGGGTGCTCTCATTGCCCTTGTCCACCTGCTCTTCACCTGGCCCAACAAGACTGTTGCGCTCAAGGAGGCTTTCTACCGCCAGAACCTCCCCAACGTCATGAACTTGATCTCCACTGTCATCGTTTTCGGTGCTGTCATCTACCTCCAGGGCTTCCGCGTTGAGATTCCCGTCAAGTCCGCCCGCCAGCGTGGTGTCCGTGGCTCATACCCCGTCCGCCTGTTCTACACCTCCAACATGCCCATCATGCTGCAGTCGGCTCTGTCCTCCAACGTCTTCTTGATCAGCCAGATGCTCTACAACCGTTTCTCCGACAACCTCCTCGTCAAGCTTCTCGGTGTCTGGGAGCCCAAGGAGGGTTCCGCTCAGCTTTTCGCTACTTCCGGTGTCGCCTACTACATGTATGTCTAGTCATCGTTCAGATACAATACCAGTCACTAACTCGTTCCAGGTCCCCCCCTCTCAGCATCACCGAGGCTCTCTCCGACCCCCTGAAGACCGCCATCTTCATCGTATACATGCTCGTCGCTTGTGCTGTCTTCTCCAAGACCTGGATCGAGGTCTCCGGCTCCTCTCCCCGCGATGTCGCTAAGCAGCTCAAGGAGCAGGGTCTGGTCATGGCTGGTCACCGTGAGGAGTCCATGTACAAGGAGCTCAAGCGCGTCATTCCTACCGCGGCTGCCTTTGGTGGTGCCTGCATTGGAGCTCTGTCCGTCGGCAGCGACCTTCTTGGTGCTCTCGGTAGCGGTACTGGTATTCTCCTTGCCGTAACCATCATCTACGGATACTTCGAAATTGCCGCCAAGGAAGGCGACATGGCCGGCCTCAAGGGCATGGTCATGGGCTAGATTAGCCCATAGGGATATTGGATTTTTGATTTGAACGATGGATGGGTTGGGGCTGGGGTGCTTCGCCGCACATTGTAACATATGATCTAAGAACAAAAGTTTACGAAGGTCTCTGGCATCACTTTACGTACTGCAGCGTGGCGTCTGGCTAGGCTCACGATGTCGGCCCTTCTCTAATGTATCATTGTTAACCCTTAAACTGCGTTTGGACCTGATCGCACCTGCAGTATTCACTTGAAGCACTCACGTGCTCAGCCTCGGCGTGTTGCTCCCGGCGTCTTACTCATCGAGCCTCAGTCGTGCTTGCTCTAACTGTTGCTTGCACCCAGGTATTGCATCCAATCCAACGACAAGTACGCCTCCGCTTTCATCAGAAACCCGCGTCATGGATTCAACCTTCACCAGCAGCGTCGCATTGGTCAGCTTAGCGAATGCGAAATGTGGCTTACGTGCGTACCAAACCGCCACGCTAACGCATGCTGCGGTCTGCGATGCGAAAGTCTGGGCAATGCGGCCTAGGAAACATCGTCATACACGGCATTGAGGCGGTTTACACATGGGTAATGCGAAGATTAAGCGAATGCGATGTACTGCTGCGGATGCGAAATCTGGTCATGATGCAGTGCGTGTCTTCGGTTTGGACGACTACATAAGATGGGGTTGTCGCTGTTAGAGGTGAGGTATTGCAGCTATCTATTTCATTTCTTCCTCGAGTTCTAGTACTCATACTTGATTGCTTCGCTCGCATTCCTGTTAAACTGTCATCATGGCAAGCTCACTTAGCATCGCTCATGCTGCGCTGGACTGGAAACGACAGAATCCACCTAAAGGACCGGACTTCGATTGGGAAATGTACCGTTATGTTCCTTCTATGGCTGGAGCAATCGTCTGCCTTGTCGTATTTCTCGTCATGGCTTTTCTTCATCTGCACCAGTTTCTGAAGTCGAGGAATCGGATTATCGTCTTTGTGGTCATCGGCGCTCTGTGTACGTTGTCCGCTTCTTGTTCCGCATATTGAAATCATCCCTCAAGACCATCTAGGATCTTTGCTGATACATGACTATAGGCGAAGTTGGCGGATACGGCGCACGTATCGCATCTCACTTCGACAATCAGGCCTGGGGCCCGTACATCACTCAAGGTGTATTGACACTTGTCGGTCCTTTGTGGTTCGCCGCAACTATATACATGATGCTTGGCCGTACCATCAGACTCGCCGGTGGTGAAGACGTCAGTCTAATTCCAGCGAGGTGGTACACGAGGATCTTCGTTACTGCGGATGTCACGACGCTGATCATCCAGGGCTTAGGTACGTGGATTCGACGAAGATGAAGACCGAATGAACATGAGCTAACAAATTAACAGGCGCCAGTATAATGGGAACCATGCAACTCGCCCTTGCCCTCGCAGGCGAGAAGATCGTCATCGCGGGCCTCGCACTTCAAGTCGCTACCTTCATCGTCTTCCTCGTCGCCTCATTCGACTTCCAAATCCGTATGAACAAGAAAGCCGATCACCACTCAGCAGACTGGAAGAAGATGCTATACATACTCTACAGCGTCAGTGCGCTGATCTTGTTCCGCTGCACGTTCAGACTCATTGAGTATGCGATGGGCAACGCTGCGTATCTGATTGCGCATGAATGGACGTTGTATTGCTTCGATGCCGTGCCAATGTTTTTGGTCCTGGTTTTGCTACTAGTTCTGCAGCCGAGTCGCTATGTTGAGGGAACCTTGCAGAAAGCGCAAGTGGACAGCGATGGTGAGGCGGGTGTTGCGGAGAGAAAGTGATGGGTTTTGGCAGATTGGTCAGTACTTTCAGCGCGTTTGGAGCAATTTTCCGAGATATCCTCTATTTTCCTAAGCGCAATACATTTTGCCTCTTCTCTTCAGTCTGCTTACGATATCATCTTTTGGGTGAGTCCTGGTACGTTTGCCTGGACCCACGCAGGCGAAACATCTCGAATGCTTTCGACTTTGCATAGCAGGCTATAACATGTTTTCACATGCCAATAACGTTTGTTCGAGCTTGACAGCCGGCCGTTGCGAAAGCTCACTCTGACCCCTATGACGTGCATGACTCGAGGTAGGTCAGATCTTAGCTCTCAAGCTTGGAATAAGCGCACCCAGCCACATTTGGCGGCAGCGCAGCACCACCTCATGCTTCCACAAAATGTGATTCCTCAATCCATACTAGCTACACACAGACATCAAACGGGATGGCGCGCCGCTCCACCACGTTCGTGACTAAAAGGCCGCATCGCAAATCGAGGGGCGGATGCTTCACCTGCAAGAAGAAGAAAGTGAAGGTAAATCCAGACCTGAGGAGACTCGTATGGAAGTATAAAATTGATATGGTGCAGTGTGACGAAGCGCAGCCCAAATGTGGATACTGTAACCTCCGAAATCTGGATTGCGAATATATTCAGGATGTCCCCTCGACATCTCGGACTTCGTCCGCCGGCCCGTCGTCCAGTGATGAGGGTCTATCATCTACATCCAACACTCCAGCAAACTTCAACGATCTTTCTGTCCAGTTGATACCATATCTTAGCCCCCATTGCCATACATCCATAGGCACGCTCACAGCCCTTGACAGTCATCTATTGCAATACTACCGAACAGACGCCTACCGCACCGTCGTATCCTGCGACGATGCCATCATCCAAAACCTACACAAAGAGACCATACCCCAACTAAGCATCTCCAACCCATTTCTCCTATACGCCCTACTCGGCATGACAGCAACCTACAGCAACAACGTCACGCCCAACAAAACGGTCGAAAAGCAAGCCCTACTCTACCGCCAAAAGACGTTCTCGACCTACAAAGAAGCCCTCAAGAACATCACAGCCGAAAACTACGAAGCCGTCCTCGTAACAGGGGGTCTTCTCCTCGCGCTCGTCCCCGGGCCAGCCACCGACACGGACGAAGATCATCTCGAATGGGTGTTCGGCCTCCTCAAACTAAGCGAAGGCCTGCGTATCCTCGCCTCTCTCCGTTGGGCCCAAGGCATCGAGAAACTCTCAGTGTATCCGTTAGTACGTCGAGAGATCAAGACGCTGCCACCCCCACCCATCATCGACGTGGCAGCCATCGAAGCGCCCATCGGTCCTCTGGGAACGACGCCTGATAACCCCAATCCAGCACCGACATACACGCCCATCCATTTCCCTACGCAGAACCGCCTCTTTCTTCCACCACCCCTGATGCAACTCCTCCAAAGCGTTATCCGAGGAAAGGAGTCAGGAACACTAGACTGGCACCGACCAACCCTTCTCCCCGTCTTCCACGCGCTATCCCCCATCTTCCTATCTCTGTATTACTACGGGCTAGACTCTGACTTCTACGTCCGCATCTTCGTCTGGACATCCTTCCTCATGCCAGACTACCTCCAGTTGATGCGGGACAAGGAACCAAGGGCTTTGGTTCTGTTCGGGTGGTGGTTGACGCTGGCAAATCTAGCGCCGAAGGGGTGGTGGACGGGGAAGCGAGTACGTAAGACTATGGGGGCGATGGTGCGGGCGATTCAAGCGCAGCCAGTGAGGGATGGTGGGTTTGCAGAGCGCGTTCTGGGGAGTGCGTTGAGGATTGTTGATGTTGTGGATAGGGAGGGGAAGGAGGCGGCGGCTAAGGCGGTGTTTGACGATTGGCCTGGTGTTAATTGGGAGGAGGGACCGGGTAGGGCTCAGGCGTGGGAGTATGGCCAGCTGGTAGATTTGGGGGATTTGGATGGCGGTTTGGATATGGATGCTGCTGTGGGTATTGATCTACAGGAGCTTGGTATATCGGTTTAACGTTCATCTAAATTCCACTACGCATGTTTTGGCTGTAAGCCTCCTTATTGTCCTATCTCGGGCGTTGTCCCAGCTGTCTCTGCAGCAACCTTTTTGTTTCCTGCCTCCGAACCCTCTTGGTTCTGCCCGCCTCTTGGCTCCCTGAGCATGCAATATAGCTTGATAGCGTCCTTCTCTCCCTCTCCATCTCTGCACTCCATCTCCCTCGCCAACCTAAAGCCAAACTTCTCATAGATAGCAATGTTCGGCTCACTTCTGCTACTCTCCAAATAGCACATCCTGCCCTCCTTATCAGCCATATCCAGCACCTCTTCCATCAGCGCTCTTCCCACACCCTGTCCCTGACACTCCGGCAACACAGTAACGATATTGCAGAAATAGTATCCCTTTGGGTCCGTCCATAGTTTAGACTGCGCTTCCGCCTGTCGTGCCTTCCATATCCAATATCGTGTTGTGCTGAGGCCACCGCGCCCATACCACAGGTTCATGCGTATTTGGTTGGCCCAGAGATACCAGTACGAGAGGTATAGCGACCAGGACTCGGGCTCGGACGTGGGACGCGGTGGGAGCCACATGGCGCAGCCGAGGATCTTGGAAGGGTTTGCGGTATCGCGTGCGACGTGAAAGAGGCCATGTTCGATGCCCCAGCGGCAGCGCAAGGTGAGGGATACACGATTTCGTGTTAAGGAGACCTGGGATGATTAGCAACGCGCAAGAAGACGGGTACCGGTTTAAGTACCTTCTCGCGATCTGGAAAGACCCAGTTGTTGTAAGGGTCATTGGCGAAGGCTTGTTGTATGGTATCGATTGCGCCGTCGATATCGGCCTCTTTCATGCGCGTTACTTGGATAGGCATTGTGAGAGGCTCTGTCGTGTTGAGAGGGTTCGAGATTCTTCGTGTCACGGCGGCAGTAGATACGAAGATGTATGCGCCAGTCTCAAAACTGGCAAGCTTCGATAGCCAGCCATGATAGGTGCGGGGAGGTTTGTAGAGCTTGTCGCATGCAACATGTGGATAGGTGCAGAGATGGGAAGGTCTAAGCGACAGTCACGTGCATAGCGGGGCCTTCCGATTGATGCTTATCTGAGCAGGCGCGTACGAACCATCTTCACCAATCCTACCTGCAGCTGTCTTGGCCTTGTTACACAGCTTCAGCCTCGTAACAATGTCAGCTTCCAGGAATCAAAGTCCGGCCTTGGTGCCTTGGACCTGCGTGACAACGCACACTAAACACCATGGAGACTTCCAAGCAAAGACTCAGACGGGCTATGCGACTGCCTGGCCCATCTATTGGCTTGAAGCGATCCCAAACAGATACTACTAATGGCCAAGCTCAGCTGCGCCCTGGCTATCAGGCTGAAGGTGGGGTAGAGACGGCAACAGCAGATCTGCTTCATCGCCGGTCCATGTCTCCTTCGCTACAATCCAGTGAACAACCTACCATGCCGTCAGACATTAGCAGCTTCCCCGATAGATGGTCCGAGATAAGGCGAAAGGCCGAGTTGGGGCAAACGGTTCAAGGAGCCGAGCAAAACGACGGAGAAACTCAAGATGAAGAGACCATCGAGAGTCGCGTGGCACGCATAAAAGCTCGTGTGGCAGAGTTGACGGACGGTGTTGAGGGTAGAGTTGCTGTTTCTGCAGAGCGGAACGAAGAGAGGCCCTTGACGCTACATACTCGTCGACATACCGCCGAAAACATTACCAGCTTCCCCAAACCAGAGCCTGGGCCACGTAACAATGATACTTACATGGAACCTGTGGATGTCGACGACTCCTTATCTGAAGCACCCACCATTAAAAAGGCTGAATCTTATGAAACGCCCTTGGATGTACATGGAGACGTACCAGCTCAGACTCAGTCGTTGGCAAATCACAGTCATCACATACCCAACTACCCAATGTACCATCAAAGTCGTTGCAATCAGATCATCACGAGACGAGCGCGCAAACAAGAACGTGCAATATTAACCCATATATTATCGGAACTGGGTGTTTCAAGTGCTCGAGATGCTCTGGAAAACTTTGGAGTTACCGATCTGTGGCTACCCCTGTCGAAGCAGCTACTTAAACGGTTTCTGGGCGATCCTCATCATGTCTCAGAATTTCTCGAATTACAAGAAGAACATCTAAGTGCGGTTCTTGCGCGTTGGATGCAGCCTGCCACAGGAGAAGATATACACGATATGATGTTCAATCACTGCGAGTTCGAGGACGATGAAGAGGTGTTTGAGGAAAATCGTTTGCTAGGCGAAGGTATGGTTGGCCTTGTCGAAGAAGTGACCGTCCGGTCCCGCGAGCCACCCATTGTGTGTGTACGGAAGAAGATCGCGAGGCCTAAACAGCTTAAAGCGCACCAACAAATCATGGCTGCTTTCATCCGAGAAATCAGAGTCATGCGCCAAGTCAATCATCGCCATTGTGTTCGCTTTCTTGGGAGTTATACCGATAATGAGTCTGTCAATATTCTCTCAACACCTGTGGCAGATATGGATCTTGCTGCCTTTCTGGAAAGGCCTATCGGGGACCGGGAGTGGACTATACTCTACAAGGGTATTGACTGTCTCTGCAACGGGCTGTAAGTGCATGCCATCCTGCCCTTCTACAACATGAACAGACAGTTCAGAACTCCGATGATGGGGAGGTGACACGCCGGTTGGAGAGTCGGCATCAGTAGAATTCGACTAATATTCGCGCAGATTATATCTTCATCAGAACAAAATTCGGTAAGTACACACAGATGAGCACATATAGACGCGCTGCATGAGCTCTCTCGTCTGCTCCTTTCACCAGACTAGCCCCCAATCAATAGGGCTGATACGGCATAGGCACGAAGATCTGAAGCCGCAGAACATTCTCGTTCATGGCACCAACATATTGCTGACCGATTTTGGATTCAGGTAAGTCAAACTCGAACCACGATACAAATGTGCTAAGCATACATAGCTTGGACTTCTCTGATGACTCTGTTTCGACGACTACTGGACGCCCATCGGCATGGACCATTCGATACTCCGCACCAGAAGTTCTAGATTCTGAGCCCCGCAATCGAGCTAGCGACATATTCTCTCTTGGATGTGTTCTGGTGGAGATGATTTCGGGACTTTACGGACACAACCTCTCCGAAGTCAAGGACTATTGGAAGAAAACTAGTAACGGGCAATCCAGTTTTGCACGCAACCCAGAGGCAACATCCTCATGGCTCGCACTACTGTCGGATCAACCTGACAGCAGCAGGCTCGAACGCATTGTCGATTACCTGCCAGAACTCCTGGCCACAAGACGCCTTGATCGACCGTCGGCTCAAACAGTCGTCGATAGACTGTGGAACCTGTGCCTACTTTTTCCTGACCTTCCGCATCTTGTCAATCCCTGTTGCGGACCACCGCCAGGGTGGACAGACGATATTCATCCTGAGCGCCTCAGAGGAAGTGGTTTGCCAAAAACGCGTGATCCACAGTTTTGGTCAGATCTTGATAGTAACTTCAACGCTGTTGCAGCCACTGAAATGACTTATGTCGTACTGGACCAGAGTTTCAAGCAAGTCGCTGCCAAACATAACTGTTATATGTACCTGCATGAACGCCAGCTGGACGGGAATACCCTTCGATACATCGATGATGTTGTCGCCATTAAGCAAGCATGCGCCATGCTCTCCCTCAAGTCCGGTATGACGCAAAATCAGTCACAAAGCCGAACCGTTCAACCAACGAATTTTAGCTACGAACAAGTGCTGCTGGAAATGTTCCAGAAGTACGAGTCCCGGCAGGTCATGTTCACAGCGCTAAGGACAAGAGTCCGGCCACCAATGTACACAGATGCTCCAGGTATATCCCGAAGACTCTCGATGATGTGGCAAATGCGGACAATCCAAATCTCCATGGTCTGTCACGAACATCGCCTGGACGGCGAAACCTACCTCAATTACGTCTTCTACGTGCTCGCATTTCATATAGCCCAAGAAGGATACGAGCCTTCGATACTGGGTGCGCCTTTCGTGGATCCAAGTATCGCGACGTAGCTGAGCATCACATGGGGGTTGGCTGCAGTAGCTGCATAAAATTACAGCATAGAAGAACAACTTGTGTAGTGATTTACCAGAGAAAAGGGAACAAACGTCAGCAATAGGAGTTTTTATAAAATGTATATTACCTCCCTGCTGTAGCTATGATGTGGCCATACACGCGATCTCAATCATTTTTAGGCGACATTGTCACATTTAGACATGTCATTTTACTTCAAGTCTCCCAGATTGATCATCCTGATAAACTTTAGCGTCATGACCATATCAAGGGACTCTTGATGACGAAAAGGAAATAGGACAAGGTGAGTAGAACTGATGGTGTGCGGAACTCAAGTGCGAAGCGAGAAACTATGTCATGAGCTGTAATACAAGCAGTGAAAACTAAGTCGCAAGGTCCAGTTGTATTCCATGGTCCACCCGCTCAAAAGTACGCTGCGCATCAAGCGTACGCTTTTTGTGTGACTCAAAAACCTAGATGCGCAGACGCATGCTTACCTTTTCCCTTAACCAACATCACAACGAATCAAGCAACCAAAAAGCTCCATGATTGCTTTTCGTGACCAAGACATTCCGCTTCCGCGATAACGCTCATACACACGCAGCACACACACATCGTGATAGTTCTACACACGAACCCACATACTCACCGCTCGAACCCAAAAGCCCATACTCACACACGTGCTTATGTCAACATGTTCGCACAAAGCAAGCCCCGCACTACACTACAGGACACTACACCAACCCCAGCCCAACGTCTATTCGTCATGGGATCGACAGTCCTGCATGGCCTGGTCAGTCAGCCTACCGAACCCAGTCCAGCCCAGTCCGATGACACCCTCCCGCACTGTGCGCGGGCGAAGCGAGTGAGCATGAGCGGTTCCGGATAGCGAATGCGAGTATGCATGGGGAGCTGGTAGACCTGTTTTGACCGGGCCGTTGTTGGGTTGGGAGTTGATGGTTGATGCGGGTGTGTGGCATGACATGTGTGGCGAGGAGGCGCTGCTTTTTTGTTCCGGGGGGGCTATGCTATGCGATGCTGAGTCTGCGGTGATTGTTGTGGCGAGGGACATGTACATGGTCTTCGTACTTGGGCTGCGTAGTCGGCCCGCTGCGTACATGTATGTGTATACTTATCGGTGGATGGAGGTTACCGGCGTTGTTGATACGAACGTCTATCGTGTTGAGTCTATTGAATATTTTTGGTGGTGTTAGGACATGAGTAGGCACATGATGTCAACGTCCGAACGTCGGCATTTTCCTCCTTTGCGATCAACATGTCGACGATCTCTGTTCAACATCTTAGGCTCTCGCTTACGGCGATGTAGTATACCGTGAGATATCAGCTGATTCGCCGGGTTATACAGCCTTGTGTCCGGCTTTTTCCTTGAACCGTGGCGCTGTAAAGGTTAGGTATGAGGAACAGGCAGCCAACCTTGTTCGGATATAGAGCATGGATGCAAGCGCGAATACGGAATGAGACGGGTTGGATACTTCGTGAGCTTCCGCTTAAAGGCACGATTATCGGCGTTGCATCCGTAGCGACGATCCGGAAATTCTTGGTTCCGAACTGTTACCTGGCATTTTAACATGCACATGGAAGGCACAGTAAATAGCAGTAATATCCCAGGGTGCTGAGGCAGCAGAACCAGGCCGTGTTGCAAGATGCATCTGCCGGAGGACAGGCGGAGACGGGTACTGTACGCAGCGCAGCATAAGTGGGCAGCTAACAAGACGCAACTAGAGATTCGAAAGCGAGAACCTGAGCCATCCTTGGATCATCGTGGTACTTGTTGATCAACTGAGAGAGCGCAGCCTCCGCAAAGTCGAGACCATCCGTATGACAGCGTATAGCGCCTGCATGTACCCTTGAACTGTAAAGGGTGGGTAACTATAAGGGCAGATAGTACCACTTGGTGTGCATACAGGCGACCCGCTGGCGGCCGACGATTCAGTGTTGGGCAGTCAGGCAGCCAGTACGTGGGAGTGCGAGAGCGATCGGAAAGAGCGGAAGCAGGAAAAAAGTCGATGAAACGCAGTCCGGAAAGTTAAGCCACCGTGTTGTGTGGTGCGGGTAGTCCTTGAGCGGTCTGTTTGGGGCAACTCCAGGTCATCCTAGGCACCGGATTACTGTTAATGCTAGTAGCCAAGAGGGGTGGTGTTGCGAATGCGGGCGCTGATGGAGCGCGTACTAGCCGCATCGCCGTGAAAACATCGGTGTGTTCGACAAAGAGGCAAGCCGGGGCTGCCGTGGTCATCAGACAGGCTGGGAGGCAGGTGCGAAGGCGGCAAGTCGGGCAATAAGCGACGTGCGTGTACTCTACGCAGAAACCGATCTATGTCCTGGGCGCCCAAAAATAGGGCGTTCAATTTGCTGAGACGTACAAATCAGGACCATGCAGGTGTGACTGCTTCTGCGCATAATCGTAGGCGAATAAAGAAGGTACTTCGGGTCGTCGCTCAGTGGTGGAAGTGGACTTTTGGGATCGCCGCGTAAGCACAATTTAGCCTAGAGCATGTCTAGAATAAGAAGATAGGCGATTTGCCGATCTGGTGAGGTGGAAAAATTCATGGCGCATGCATGGCATCCGTGGGCCCGTTTGCACCGTCATACACCTGACGGGGAACTACTTGCATAGGAGCTTCCGTAAGTAAGTCTCAGTTGGCAACTCAAGGATGGTCACCTCCACACAAAGGACGGCCCTTGTCAGCAGTGATGCACGCAGTAGTACCGAGCCTTGGATTGCATTTGACACATCGCCTGATGTAACAGCGGCCGAGTGCATGACTGGCGGGCACCAAGTTGTGTCTTACAAACGAATAGCAACTGCTATATAGGGTTCCGACTAGGGGTGTGCTGCTGGAATATTAAAGCGGAGTGCAATTGCCGGATTGGTGCGTAGTATTACAAGACTGAGATCGGTGGTGTAACTGTAAGCGGTAAGCATAATGCTAGAGGTGGCCCGACCTCGGATATTCTATGTGGCAGACGTGCTGATCGAGAAACTTTGCTCTATATTAGCTGCCATGTCGACACAAGTTGCAGCAGCAAGCGCCTCAATACACCCTGATTCATGATGACGGCCGGATCCATCGCTCCTCAGGATGCATTGTTGTATTGGCTTTGAGGCGGTTGGTGGCAGCTAGGTACCGAACCTAAAGAGGTGCGACAGGCAAAAGGGTCGCGGTGGAGCGGCAGAAGGAAAACAAACGCTCGTACTGCGTGAAACCGAGTCACCGCCGGGCCCTGGTAAAGTGGAGAAGATTTTGCGGAGATGCAGGCTGGCTTCAGCTGCTGCGTCGTAAGACAATTAGCATGGGATCGCCCGACAGAAGTTTCATCAGTTGCGCGCTCGGGTGAAGCGAAGGTACAGACGTGTACACGATACCCACGGTCCGGCATGCTCGTGCGGCAGTCTTGGCTAGGTAAAACTGATGCAGAGTCATGGCTTGTTCTTGTTGATGTACCAGCAACTTGTACGCACAAGCGAGTCAACGGCTGTGAGCTGGCACAGTGGCGGTCTGACTGGTCAGACTCGTACCCCGGCTACGAGCGCATATCGTGTATGTGGAAATGCCATCTTGCCCCATGGTCGTAGCCCTAGTGATGTTGAGTGGGGTGTCGGTGTCCGATTTCCTCTTCGTGCGTCACACGCGCATGTTCGAGATGCTGTACCGCTGGTGCTTGCCTGAGGTGTGCAGTAGGACTTGTTTCCGGCAAATATCCAAGATTGCGTCGAGCACAACTTGCAGCAGTAAGGAGGCTCACCGACGAGCTAGTGTGGCTGCTGATCCAAGCAGACAGGAGGCTTCAACGGAGGACGGCGATTGGACAAGGGGCTCTCGACGTTGAGCAAGTGGGCTCGCGAGCCGCCTGGTGAGGCTAATGCTCGCTAGTGGGCAAGGATAAAGTGCCGCCGCGCCCGCAAAGAGAATTTCGCGTTCGCATGGGCCGACCATGATCTAGAACACATCACACGCAGACAGGCCGATACCATGCTAAACGATCGTCGTCGTCCACAAATAATGCAGCTACCAAGCCGACCGAGTTCTTTTTCATGCAACTGGTTCACATCGTGCTTCACCTCGCGCTTGGTTAGGGTGCTTGCGTGACCGGGAAACGACCTGTAGCCTGGCCACGTCTAGTGAATGGTGTTGACAAAACTCAAGGGAACGCCAGGATGATAGACTATCATGCTGAAGGTAACGTCGTGTCAACATGACCATGGTTGATATGGCAGGGCGGGCCATGAGGGACTTTGTGGTTGGTTTGAGCTAGCGTAGCGATGCCGCTCATACCGTGATTCTCTGCCTTTCCAGCATTCTTAGAGATGATGCGACGCCACGTTTGAGACCCACTCGACTCGTGGGCCACCCGCTGATACGTCATTAAAGGGTTTTTCTTCCCGTGTTGCAGATTGCCGGACTGGGGCTGTCAGCGCCTGGCTTCGACACACTGGCACTGTGATGAGTGCAGCACCCGTGCCGCGTCCATCCAAGCGCATCCTCCATAATAATGCCGGAGAAAGCCTTTTTGAAACCACAGTTTTCACAATCTCGATTGATGGAGCTTACGGCGTACAGCACGGCTAGGAGGCACGGGATTCCAGATAGTGCAATGTCTGTGAATGGCGCTGTGCCCAATGCTGCGCGGCCTATTGTCTCGAGCGGATCATCTGAACGCGAAACTATGTGAAGACGCGGGTCAGCACTCAGCACCTCGATTCGACGGTTCTTAGATTGAGTGTACAAGATCAAGCGACGCTTTGCAGAGCGGGTTCCGGTGACAGTTCGGTGCTTACTTTTCCTGTTCACATATTCGTCTCGTGATGCACAAGTGTACAGCTGCGCCGCAATTTTCGTGGATCAAAATGACCGAGGCCGCGTGCTGCAGAGTCAGACTGGCTGGGTGTGATACGCGGGATGTGCTGAATTACGGAACACGGTGCATTGATTCGTTCCCTGTGGCTCGCGCTAGTTGCAACATCGTTCACTGACGC